CACAAAGGATAAATCCAAATGAGCAGATCACAATTAATTGAAAATGGTTCTAAAGGAAATAACTGTGTTTCCCTACCTCTAGTGCATAGTGAAAGACAGAGCAGGATGGAGGTAATGACAAATTTTGGTATGGTTTAATTTTTGGATCAGCCCAGCCATTCTCTGCAGTCCATTCAATACTAAGCATGTGATCTGTAAACTCAGCGCCAAAGACTAATGTATTATAGTCTGATTTGGATTTTGGAGACTTGGTTGGTTCAACTACGAGCCTATCATACTTGAAAAAAAAAATTATAATACATTAAAAACATGGAAATTTACCATATTTACGTAAAGAAATGCACAAGTGCTTAATTATTAGAAATTTGATGGGTGCTTATTGGGAAGAGGGTGCTTTATTATGGGGGGAGCTTACTGTTGTTCTGTTCTGATCCTGCTGAAGCTCAAAAAGTTATAAACAAAGTGGCTACAGAAAAAAGGTGTTCTTTATAAACCCACTGAAAGCAAGGAAAAGAGGGGTGAAGAGTACTTATTTGAGAGGAGTGAATGTTTTACATTATGGCCCTTGGGGTGGGGGTGCTCATTCAAGGAAGGGTCTTTATACAAGGAAACTTATTATTTTGTAAGGCTTCCAGAGGATGCTGTATTTGGCCTTGTGGATGGGAACTTATTTCAGGGAGGGCACCTGTAAGAACAAGGGCATTTATTTGAGAAAAATGCCATTCTCCATTCTAGAGAAGAGGGCTAATCAGATAAGAAGGGCAGACTTAATCAGAACAAAGTGATGAAAAGAAAAATGATGGGAAAATTATTACAACTACTCTTCTGACCATTACACAGTATTACCAGTAATTATCATACTATGTGCAGAACACATTTCCTTGATTTCAAAACATAAAACACTGATATGGGAAGTAAAGGGGCCTTGAAAAGACAAGCTGGTAAATTTGGTGAAACAATGCCACCTCGCAAAAATAAATAAAAATACCACAACATAAGTAAGGGAGGGAGAGAGGATTTTTAGTGATGAAAAAAAGTCTCATTATTTACTTTAAAGGAACATAAGAGGCTGAGTATTTTTAAGCAGATAGTTTGTATCAAAAACTGTTGTGCTATATTGTTGGACCACTGAAAGGAGATTTTTTAACTGACTTGCACAGTCTGTTTAACCCTTTAAACTCTGAGAGTGACCAGCATCTAATTTCTCCATACAGTAATTTGGCTAAATCATTTGTTGAGATCATGAGAATAAAGGAAATGATCGCCACCCAAAGAAGCTATGGTTGTAAAACCAATTCTCCTTGTCAGTACTAAAGGAAACGTATAAAGAAGAGAATGGAGAATATGGATACTGATGTTCGGGCATAAAGGGTTAGTGTCTCCTTTTAACTTTTTCCCAACTTTCTGATTAATTCTATTTGCATGCCACTCTTAAATTACAAAGGTGAAGAGACAGAAATAAAGAGATTGTTAAAAAACATGACATTAATCAAATAGATAGGACTTATGACCCCTAACAGACGATCATGCCACATACTGTGTAACATACCTTAAAATCAGAATCTGTGGACAAGCCTCGAATCTACAAATAAAATCAAAGAAAGAGGATCGGAAAACTGAGCTGAAACCTTCCGTAAATTAGAGTGATACCAGAACATTTTCAGCTTTATTGTGTAACTAAAAGAACTAATGATATCTCTTAATTCCCTGATGGTCAATTTCAAACACAGACGCTAATTGGCTCCTTGTAAGTATCTTTGGCCACTGTATGTAATTATAAAAGCATTAATATTGATTTGACAATAGCAGCGTTTCCTAAAAGTGCAAATTTGAGAGGATCTTATCACTTTGAATTGATTTCTTAGAGAGAAGATTTATCGCAATGAAATGAACTGTCTGTCGCTCTTTGTCTCAAAGAAAAAAAGACTAGGATCTTCTACTGGAGCGAGGAATCCTTGAGAGCTCAATTGAAGGTCACGTCACAATCCACGCGTTATTTTACATCTGATAGCTAACTCAGGAAAAACTCCAAACCACTCATAAAAGAATCTTACCAAAATTTGTGACCTTAAACGTCTAACAGCGTTCCATGGAGAGGATTGAAGGTAAAAATTATTCACACAGAACTTTGTAAAACGTGACGCCATGTTAGTTTCATGCAAATTAAGTTTACGTGGGCACCTGGGCCGAGTTTTAGTGTATGCAAGCCGCAACCTGATTGGTTATTTTAGTGGGCGGGTTAGAGGTGTGGTTGGGTTATTGGGTGTTACCAGAATGGCTGCTTCTGTTCGCGACTAACTTTTTCCTTTTCGTTTTAACCCGCTACTGTAACCCTGCGCATATACTGTAATAGTTCTGGCAAATCCTCCAGGGGCCCAATAGAGACTTGAAGATGTAGAGATAACCTGGGAGGGGGAGAACGAATATGAGTCTAGTTTTCCTTCTGAGTCGTCCCCTGTCCAAGATGATTACGGTACAAAGTCTTTGCGTTTCTTTGGTTGGAAAAACCTACACACATCTGACGGAAAGCCCTACAAGCGTCCAAACAGAACAAATTCATATAGTTCTGCAGCTACCTCGCCTGAACGAGGAAAACAATTTTAGGATGTTATCTTTTGCGTCAAATTATCATCATTTTTTGTCCTTAATTCCAAAGTCCAGAGTTTTAAATAAAGTAAGTTCAGGAACCTTACAAACCACCTAAATAAAAATAGCATTATCACAAATCAAACGCCTGCTTACACAGCATACTATGTTTATTTTATACACAACTGTACAAAAAATGTCTATTCTAGATTTCACATATCAGTACAGTGATATTCCCTCCCTATGTAGCATTTACAGCAGACAATTGAAGCTGAGAACTGAAACACTTTCAAACAATGAGATACAAGACTGCTAAAGCACAATAAAATCAATGACCATTCCTTGTCTCCTAAATTTAGCTTCATAATCTAATCAAGTGTATTTTTATAGATAAAGACTAGAAGAAAATTATTTTCTTAGTCAGGCAAAAAAAATAAGAAATCTAGCACTGCATTTCAGGAACTTTATAAAACAACCTTACACCTACAGACTCAAACCACAGATTAGTAGATGGTATTTCCTCTATTATTTTTCTGAGAAAACCCTCACAATTATTCATACTTGAGCTACTAAGCTGTACTTTTCAATGATTATAGCAGGGCAACAGTTTCTCTGAATTCTGTCCTGCTTAATTTGGGAGAAACTTAGGAAATGCTATCAACCACAAGAGTTGAAGTTTGCCTCCAGATAATTTCAGATAGAGTAAAGAACTAGGGGTTTCCAGTCAACTACGTTAACTTTGAAACGTGATTATTTCCATAGAAAGAAAATGGTAACATTCAAGAGAAAAAGAAGGTTAAAAGCTTGGGCTAAAAGGAGGATAAAGCAAAACAAATCTTGATCTGGAAAATTAAGGGTCTAAGATTTGTTTATAGTAACTTTAAAGTCCTCCATCTGTGCCCAGTGTCCCTTGAATTGTTCAAAAGTGCCTGGTACCAAACTCCTCTTTGGCTTTGATTTTAGCAAATTTGCACTGCAACAGTTTTAAGTGTTAATAAATAGAGGGTAAACTCTCTGGAGTGTCCAATGAAGGCATCACTTTACGAGGCAACGTTCAAAGTAGACACTTCCTACATATCCTCCTCTCATGGATTTCCCCACATTCTGTTCAAACAACCGCCTGTTACTTCGAAGAACTTCAGCAGCATCTGTGGCAAAGGAAAGACACAGTGAAGGAATGAGGCTAGTACACAGCAAACTTATTGACTTCTATCAATATTTTTTTTCAAGAGCTTCAACAAAACTAATTCCTCAAGACTGGTCTACATCCTTCAACAGTATAACTTTGTTTCCTGGCCCAACACCTAGAGTTGGGGGAAGTGAAAACTTCACCATCAACCTCTACTTATATGCACCACCCAATTATGATGGTGGTTTTGGAACTTCTAATTCTGCTAAGGGTAAACCTGAAGATGTCAAATCTCCTCTTGAAAATAAACAAAGGAAGTATTAACCTTTGTTAAGAGGATCCTCTGGATTTGGTTCCTGCAATCAAAGAGACAAGTCAAGATATGTTATTGGCTCACACCTTAAAGGAGACATCCAAAGAGGCCCATTTTTTGAAAGTCCCACTAACTTAACAGCCTGAAGCCATACTTTGAAAAGCAAAAATTAAAGAATAGAGAAGCAACTTATGGCACCCAAGCCAGTCCACTTTGTTTCTTTAGCTGATAGTTTTATAGTATGATTTTCAAAACTTTTCAAAATCCTGTCTTGATTGGAAAGAGGGGAGCTTTACAAGCCCACTAAGTTACCAGGACCTTCGAGCTAGGGGCTCCAAGATTGAGTTCTGATTGGTTCTTTTGAACAATACCAAAAATACTAAGTCACCCACCGACAGACTGATCAAATGACTCAAAAATTCACCTCATAGGGTTTATTACAAGCACTCACCAAAAACAGATATTGTAATCCAATTATTATTGCATTTATTGTAAGAACAGGTTTCCAGTCCTCTCTGCAAATACAAAAGATATTGGGAGCTTAAGGATTTTGCATCATGCAGTAATTTTAAAGGAAATGAAAGACCATATAATATCAGTAATCATCATTTATCTATACTTACCTCAAGATGTTCAAACAGACATTTCCTTCTAGATCAATGTTTGGATGATAAACCTGAAAAAAAGGGAGTCAAATTACTTTCAAAATCCAAATACCATGAACACCTGAAATATTTTGAGGAGAGGAGTCCAACTGTTTCAACCAACCAAACTGGAAATTAGTAATTAAGAGCAAATCTTGTCCACAAATAACAACTTCAATGCCATTGCTGCTAATACTGCCATTATTGGTTTTTCTTTTCTTTTCCTTTAGAACTCCTTTACAAAGGCCTTATTGTGGTATCCCATAAACTCTTTGATTCCACTTGAGCACATTTTATCATGTATAATCATGGATAGAAAAGTTGCACAAAGCAACACTAATGCAAGAACTTAAACCTTTGAGGTTACTAGGTTTATGGCGACAACCAAGAGTAGTGAAGGTAAATGTCATTAATAATGAACTCAAAGTAGTCATCTGTTTCAAATAGAACTGATCCTGCTGGATCATCAAGTTCCCGAGTTGTTTCTGCTGTTCTGTTTTGATTTTCAGGAATATAGCCAAAATATCATGAAAAATCTTACCCACTTTTAAACTGAAATGTCTGGCCACATAGTTTAAAACTTAGGCATGCTATCCATGCAAGAGTTTTTTTCTTTTTTCATATCAGTGGTTTAAAAGGGAACACTAAGGAAATGATGTTTTCACTTTTGTAAAAGAAAAAGGGCATTTACTTTCAAAATGTTCCAATGAAAATTTGTTCAATGGAGAGCAAAAAACCTTCAAGTTTATCTGAAGTAAACTCAGACATATTTTTTGGCTTATTGCCACTGGTGTCTGAAAAATTGCACAAATAAACTGCATTAGTGCCATGGTTCCTGTAGTCTCCTTCACAGCCCACGCAAAGATATTTTGCAGGTCGTTGTTGCCCATCTGGACTTTGCTCCATGTTTGCCGAATATGTGATAAAAAGCAGGTTGTTTACAAGGAATTGACTAGTAAAGTCCAAGGTAGCTAAAAGCTAATTTGATTGTTAAAAAATGTCTACACATGTGAGAATTGCATGAAAAATTGACTAACGGTAGCATTTAGTTTCATGTGAATTTTTTCAGTGGGGTTGGATTAAGACATTAAATCTATGTTGTTTATCAGAAAATGGTATTTCATCTGATTAAGTCTATTTCATAGTGACAAGTAGACACATAACTGTATTGGGAAAATACAGTTTAAACACAAGATGTAATTCATGGAGAACTTTTAAAATTATAGCAAAAAAATGGATATTTAACATGGCAGTCAAAATAGTTTTTCTGTGATCATGCCTGAAAGTAGCCATCTGATTGGTGCAAGCAATATACCACTTGATATGCTAACATAGAGTTGTTGTAACAGTTGTGTTTTTTTAAATGAAAAAAGTAACTCAACAAATGGCAGGTGCTCTTAAACTAGAAACTCACTTTTGTTTCACACTTGACTTTTGGAGCATCATGAGGATATCCTGGACCAACCTTTTACAAATTAAACAGACTGGTATTGATAAAGGGATAATTAGATGAGTCAGGGCAAGTCATCAACATTCATGGAAAATGTTGAGACTTACTAACCAATATGATGCATGGTCACTGTGGGATCCCAGAAAGGGTTCAGTGGCTTCAAAATCTAGCAAATTTATCTTTAGGATTTAAATTCAAAAGATGTGTCAAATTACAACAAAATGAAAATGACAGTAAAAAGAACTTCAAATGAGCTACTAGAAATTTCAAAAGACAGCAATGAGTCCCTAAGTGCTGGCTGAATGCATTTTCAACTACCTAATGCACGTTGTCACCACTACAAGTTTTCAAGATAGTTTCCTCTGTCTTTCTAAGATCTTATAAAGGGAGTAACTCACCTTAAAACTAAAGATAAATCTTCCATTTCTGTAAAATCCCTGGAAGTTAAAAATTAAATTAAAAGCAGCACTAAATTAAAAAAACTTAACTAAACGTTTGAACGTGTCCTTTAGTAGCATGTCGTAATGATGTGGGATATTGATCAAATGAAGCCTTTAAGTGCTACTGTGGTTCTTTCTTTATTCACACCGAGCTTTTGCCGTTCTACGGCATCATCAGGGATGATGATGATGATGATGCCGTAGAACGGTGAAAGCTTGGAGTGAATAAAGAAAGAACCACAGTAGCACTTAAAGGCTTCATTTGATCAATATCCCCCATCAAAAAACTTATATTGGTTATTATCATTGAAACTTATGATGACTTAAGAAAAATGAGAAATCAGTTTGAATGCTGGGGCTTAAATTTTTTCAAGCAAATGAACAAAGTTATTGGTTTCTTAAGAAATTGTGGTGCATCATCCATGGGCAAGTCAGTCACAGAACAATGTCTGACTAAAAATTGCACATGTCTGATGAAAAGTTTTGTAAGGGAGTACAAATGTTTGAACAAATTTTAAAAAGAAACATTTACACACTACTTCAACAAACATTTTCTTCATGTATTCTGGTAATAAGCTTTTACTGCAACAACAA